ATTTTTTGAACGATAACAGTCGTATAATGGGACAAATTCTTCGTCCGAAATGTTGTTGTCTGCATAGCTAGGCAAAAGTATCTCTCGACAAGTCTTAAATTTGTTCATTTTCAAAGACCTCGGCAAGTTGCCGTCGGAAAATGAAGGGTGCTAAAGGTTTATATTTTGGCGCGAACAACGCAGTCCTCGCCCCAGTCTCTTTCGTCCACCGACGTCGCCGTCGCTATGAAAACTCTCGGTGCTAAAGGTCCCTAAAAGCAGTTTAAGCAGTAACGGCAACAACGCCAAAGGCAACATCGATTAAAAAACGACTTAATATTCAACCTACGAACCTCGGGAGAATTTAGATTCGTTCAGTTTGTCTATATAAAGAAATATCCCAAACAGAATATTTAAGACAGCGTCAAAATTCGAAAAAGAAATTTCAAAAATTGGCCGTCGTATAGTTCACATCCTCTCGAATATGCAGAAAGTGGCTATTTCACGTTGTTGTTTTGTGACCTTTTGTAAAAATCGGCAAAGAAATGAACAAAGAATTATAACGCACGCTTACACAGCCATTGTACTCGTTGCCGTTGCCGTTAAAGTTTGCTTAATTAAGCTTCCTAAAACCAAATAAACAGCCAAATAATGAACAGCCAAACGAGCACAAAACAAACGAAAGCCCGGCCAAACAAAAAGACGGCTGAGGGTGCAGAAAACATCTCCGCTCTGAGACGAAATCAAAACAGATAAAATGACCGTTCCCGCCAGTTTCGAGAAAGTCGCTTCGGCTGTCCACGCATCCCGCGAGTAGAATCCTCGGAAGAACTGGGTACAATGTCTTAAGAGGGATTACCTTAGTTAGACGACCTACATGGGTGATTCACTCTCTTACCTTGAAAATCTCTTATTAACACATAATATTTCTCTATATGAGGCTCATTTTTCAGCCCCTCTCTTCCTCCTAATAATTATTGCACAGCCACTAATTTATTCTTGAGAAAGAGCATAATTTGAAAATTAAAGTATTCATCAAGGATTTCTAAATCCCTCGCTTCAGAGATTTATCTGGATGAAAAAACTAGTGAGACAATCTCAGATAGTGCTGAGTGTAATTACTGTAGTCACGTAGGTCTTCTCACCCATGCCGTTCCCTCCATTGGTATTCAACTATTATGAGCGGAACACGAGCGGACAAACTGATAAGACATATCTTAGCAGTGTGTATGTCGTTTCACGTTTGTGTTTTTTTTCAAGGCCCAAAAATAACTTACAATTACCGTTTGTTCAGACGGTTTTAAAATCATTGCACCAAATNGAACTCTATCGGGATCAAATCTTCTCACATACCATTTACCTTTACAACAAGAAGTTTGATTGGCTGTTTACAGTAGATCCAATCTGATTGGTGTGACATACATACATCTCTCACTCACTCACTCACTCACTCACTCACCCATTGGCCCGTCCATAACATACCCGACGCGCCGACTAAGAGGTATTTTTTTACAAAAAAATAACTCAAAAATGGTAATTTAGGTTTGAGACAACATTGGAGTAGTTTATAATTTTGTCACCATTAACAGCAGAGATGGTTGTCTAATAGAGGTGTGGCCCAGTAATATGTGTTGGACTCTGGATGAAGTAGTCCAGATACGAGCATTGGCCAGGGCCATTGTATTGTGTTTTCGGCAAGACACTACTTTCAAATCTTGCCTCTCTACAGATAAAGGTTATTAGTAGTCTCACTCTGTACTGTGCAAGGTGTGTTGTGCTGTTTAAGAGACAGTTGTAAGAAATTATTTTAATCTGTGATAAATAATCGTTGAACAACATACAGAGCAAGAGACACATCCGAGTGCTGGGAGGTGTAGATATGTTTTCATATATAGTATTTAAAATTTGAATAAATAATAAAGGGTTATTTACTATGAGGGGAAGTTACTTCTTGTAATACTATTATTTGCCAGGATAGCATGAGTTTCAAATTATATTTACCTTAGTTTTTAAGAAATTATCTGGGTTTTCATGGCTGGGTTGAAAATAGTGTTAAGACATTAATGGTAACCGTATTTTCTAAATTACGAAAATTTTATCAGGGATATTACTATTATTATGCATTTTATAATGTAGGTATATTAAGGTATATAAACTTGCAATTCTTATTTTTTTAAGTTTATTAAGTTTTAAGAGAAAATTAAGGTTTGTGTATCACCAGTGCTTAAACAAAGCTGCTGAGTTGTATGAGACTATCATTTTAACAACTTATTAAATAAATTTTCACCACAGTGAAGAAAACTTGCTAGAGAATTCAGTGTTAACCTTTGCATTTGAATAAGTGAACTTGAGTTAATTTCTCAGACCATTCTGGCATAACTGTTGGCCATAAAAGACAAATGTGTCACCAGCCTGCACTGCATTCAGAAACATCTGAAGTGGGCTTTTATCAATGTAAACTGTAGTACTGTAGACACATGCCCGATTTAGGTCCTGTCTACACTACTACACTGGAGAGATT